TACCTTGTGGCTAATAGCCACTGATGGACCTCTGCTCCATATGCTTATCTAATTCCCTTTTGAAGCCGTCCATGCTTGTAGCTGCCACCACTTCCTGTGGCAGTGAATTCCATGTGTTAATCACTCTTTGGGTGAAGAAGTACTTCCTTTTATCCGTTCTAACCCGACCGCTCAGCAATTTCATGGAGTGCCCACGGGTTCTTGTATTGTGAGAAAGGGAGAGAAGTACCTCTTTCTCTACCTGCTCTATCCCATGCATAATCTTATAAACCTCAATCATGTCACCCCTCAGTCGTCGTTTCTCCAAGCTAAAGAGCCCTAAGCGCTTTAACCTTTCCTCATAGGGAAAGTGTTCCAACTATTTTATCATTCAAGTTGCCCTTTACTGCACTTTTTCCAAAGCTATAATATCCATTTTAAGGTGTGGTGACCAGAACTGTGCACAGTATTCCAAATGAAGTTGTACCATTGATTTATACAAGGGCATTATGATACTGGCTGATTTGTTTTCAATTCCCTTCCTAATAATCCCCAGCATAGTGTTGGCCTTTTTTATTGCAGCCGCACACTGTCTCAACATTTTCATTGAGTTGTCTACTACAACTCCAAGATCTCTCTCTTGGTCAGTCTCTGCCAGTTCGGACCCCATCAACGTGTATTTATAGTTAGGATTTTTGGCTCCAATGTGCATCACTGAAAAAGTGCAGAAAAGGGCAACTCGAATGATAAAAGGGTTGGAACACTTTCCCTATGAGGAAAGGTTAAAGCGCTTAGGGCTCTTTAGCTTGGAGAAACGACGACTGAGGGGAGACATGATTGAGGTTCTCTCCCCAAACGTCCAGGTCTCTCAACAAAACACACTCTGCAGAATATTCTACTTTGCTTCCTCAGCCCTTCCATTGCTTCCCTCCCTAAGGCTCACTTTCCATCATTATAGTCCCTCTGTAACACTGTCTTCACACCCTATTTATAACCAAACATCTGTCTGTTAAGTATATCTGCACCTTCTATTTAAACAGAGCTTCCAAATTACCATAATTAGATTATCAATGAAGAATTATTTTTTTCCATAAAAAGACGTTTGAATACAGCATGGCAATAGTCTTTTGTGCATGCTTGCACAGTGATGGATCCTTGCACTACATCAGAGCCCACTGCTGAAGTTCCCTTTCTTTGATTGCACAGGAGACTGCTTTTGTAAAGGGAGTCTCAGAAGTGTCACTGTAGATGAAACTCCCCATGTCTCCTGGATTCCAGCCATTTGAATGAAGCTTCTATTTGGTCTCTGGGTTGGTGCTGTGTATATGAAGTTTATTCAGGGAAAATAACTGTCTCATTGCCTCTTCTTATTTCTCTCTCTCTCCCCGTAAGAGAAATCTTACAAGAGATTCACAGGCTGCGGCTTGAACATGAGCAGGCATCTCAGCCAACTCCGGAGAAAGCGGCCCAGAACCCTACTCTCCTGGCAGAACTCCGGCTCCTGAGGTAACGTGAAAATAATTAATTTTCATGAATAAGTAACCTTGTTTATGTTTCATTTAGTTCCTTGTAGAGCATTATTTTGAAAACAATGAAAACATTCTGGGGTTTTTTCCCCACTGGAGAGGAATCCTGTTTATTTTATTGACTAGCAGAAAAGCCCGTTGTGAAACTGATACAACGGGATCTAGAAAGATGTGATCTGTAACGAATGCATAGGCTGGATGGTGGTAAGGTAAACAGTAGTGGGTGAGTGTGGGAGGGGGATGGGTGGGGGAACGGTGGCGGCGGCCGGAGGCCTCTGCATCCTGTTGCCAGCCCTGGAGTGAGTGGGGGGGGAAGGGACCCGGCCTCCAGTTGCCGGCCCAGGAGTCAGTGGTGGGGGAGGGGGTGGGTGGGGGGGGGGGGGAAGGGAGCGGGCGACCGGAGGCTTCTGCCTCCTGTCTCCGGTCCAGGAGTAGGGGTGGTGGATACGGACCCGGCGGCCGGAGGCTTGCACCTCCAGTCGCCGGCCCTGGAGTGGGTGGGCTTGGGTGTTTTGGCCCCACTGGTTGACCTTCTGATGTCACCTGTGTTTTGGCCACTGTGTGACAGAGTGTTGGACTGGATAGACCATTGGTTAGACAGTGATGTTTAGACAGTGTTATCAATTTAACAAACATGAAATTGAGCAAACTCCAGAGGACGATGGAAGACAGGAGGGCCTGGCGTGATGTGGTCCATGGGGTTGCAAAGAGTCAGACTTGACTGAACAACAAAAGCTTCTAATATTACCCAGCATCATCTGGGCCCTCAGGGTGATCCGGGCCCCTGGAATTTTTTTACCCCCAGTCTTTACCTATCAGCACCCCTGGTGGTAACAGATTCAGCATTAGAGAAGAAGAGACGAAGAAATTGCCATCAGGTCACTACTGACTTATGACCACCCCTTCCATGGGGCATTCCAAATATGAGATGAGCAGAGGTAGTTTGCCATTGCCTTCCTCCACATAGCACCCCCAGGCTTCCTTGGTAGTACTAACTGTGGCCAGACCTGCTTAGCTGACAAGCCCTGACGCTTGGGTCAAACTGGGTTATTCAGGCTAGTGTTAGATAACA